CCAACCAAAAAACCCCCCAAACAATCAACAACCCCCCCAAACAATCAACCAAACCCCCCAAGCATCGACCCCAACTCACAGATGTTGACGTTGCCGACTCCCTCCCCGGCCAACCTGCGGGAGGAGGAGACAAAGGGAGGGATCAGGGTCGGCATTCCCGGCATTCCAAAGGCTCCTCCCTCCAGGAGGGGGATTCCTCCCCCCCCTCCCACCAGGGGTGAGAGAGCCCTGGAAGCGCTGCCCGAATTCCACAGGGATTTCCACCTGGGAATGTTCTGCCACGAGTGGTGGAAAACAACTTTTCCCTTCCTTGCTTCTTGCCCTCAAAAGGATCGATTTTTCCAAAGAATTTCCCAGTTTGGCTCTTCCACCAAAGCCCCTCCAGGACCAGAAATCAGCTCAAAAAAAGAGCTTTTTTTTTTTTTTTTAGGCCTGTGTTTCTCTGTGGCAATCAGAGCTGGGCTCTCCTGATGGAGATAAAAGATCCCAGCTGGGGATAAAAGAGCCCTTGGAATTTCCGCCTGAATTCCACAGGGAATTCCCTTTGGGAATGTTCTGTCACAGCACCACAAATGGTGGAAACCAATTTTCCCCCCCTCCTTTGCTTGTGATGGAAAACAACTCTTCCCTTCCTTGCTTTGTTTTCATCAAAACCATCAACATTTCCCCCTCCCCCCCGGAATTTCCCAGCTCGGCTCTTCCACCAAAACCCCCTCCAGCACCAAAAACCACCCCCACCTGCTCTCCTCGCCCTCCAGCAGCTTCCTGTAGGTGGCAATCTCGATGTCCAGGGCCAGCTTGACGTTCATCAGCTCCTGGTACTCGCGGAGCTGCCGGGCCATGTCGGCCTTGGCTTTCTGGAGGGCGTCCTCCAGCTCGGCCAGCTTGGCCCTCGCGTCCTTCAGGGCCATCTCCCCCCTCTCCTCGGCCTCAGCCACGGCCGCCTCCAGCTTGGCTCGCTGTGGGGAGAGGGTGGGGGGTCAGGGGAGCCTCATCCTGCCCCCACAGGGGGAGGAAAAGGAAATAAAACAAAAAAAAAAAAGAAAAAACAAAGCCCCTGGTTTTGCTGAGCGGAGACTCCTCTCTGGGTTTGAGGGGTTGTGGGGGGGAGTGGGAGAATCCCAGGCAGTCTGAGGGGGTTGGGGTGCTGGGGAAGGGCATCCTGGCCTGGCCTGTCTCAGCTTATTCTGTCCCATCCCTTCCCATCCCATCCCATCCCATCCCATCCCATCCCAAAAGGCAAGACCCTCTTTTTCCACGCTTGGCTGCGCTTCTGGAGAACTTCCCTGAGCTTCCCCCCCACACCCCAGGAGAGCTCAGGTTTTCCCTCCTGATTCCCCCCCAGAGCTCGGTTGGGGCAACCAAAAAACCTTTAATGAGGGGCAGCAGGACCTGGAGCAGACCTGGAAGCACCAAACACGACAGACCCACCCCAAAAACACCCCTGGGGGCCCCACAAAACCCCCAGATGTGGCCCTGCCCCTCCAGAGCTCATTTGGGAGCTGCTCAGACTCCCAACAACCTTTGACCAGGGGCAGCAGGACCTGGAGCCACCAAAATCACAAACCCACCCCAAAAACACCCCTGGGGGCCCAACGTGGAGTTGGAACCTCCAGCTCTGCGTCTTCACCTCCTAATTCACCCCCAGAGCTTGTTTGGGGCTGCTCAGACTCCAAAAACCTTTGACCAGGGGCAGCAGGACCTGGAGAGGACCTGGAGCCACCAAAATCACAGACCTGGGGCCACCAAACATCACAAAGACCTGGGGCCACCCCAAAAACAACCCCCGGGGGCCCCCAGGCCGTGCCGGACCCCCCCCCACCCCCCCGGCTGTGCCCCCGGCCCTCCCCGCGGGGCCGGACGGGCTCGGAAGGAGCTTCGTGCCCTCCTTTGTGCCCTCCTTTGTGCCCTCCTTTGTGCCCTCCCATCATCACCGGGGGAGCCGCTCTGGGCTCCCTCCCCCGCCCCGAAACCAAACAAAGGCGGGGATGAATCACGGGCGTTATCGGGGGCGGGGGGGGGGGAGAGCTCAGGTTACCCCCTGGAGCAGCAGCTCCAGCTCCGCTCGAGGGGCCCCAAACCCTGAGATGGAGCGATAAAAAAAAACCAAAAAACCTCAAACAAACAAACAAACAAAAAACCACCCCAGAAATTGCCGGGTGTGCCCTAAAAAAAATGTGTGGGGAGAGAAGAGGAACCTGTGGGGTCACCCCAGCCCTGCCCTTGGGATCTGCAATCCCCCCCCTGTTCTCATTCCTAGGGTTGATTCCTGCTCTTTCTGCCCCCCAAGCCCACGGTCCTGTCAGGATTGGGGTCATTCCTGTCAGGATTGGGGTCTGTCCTGTCAGGATTGGGGTCATTCCTGTCAGGATTGTTCCTGTCAGGATTGGGGTCGTTCCTGTCAGGATTGGGGTTGTTCCTGTCAGGATTGGGGTAGTTCCTGTCAGGATCGTTCCTGTCAGGATTGGGGTTGTTCCTGTCAGGATTGGGGTTGTTCCTGTCAGGATTGGGGTCTGTCCTGTCAGGATTGGGGTTGTTCCTGTCAGGATTGGGGTCATTCCTGGCAGGATTGGGGTCGTTCCTGTCAGGATCAGGGTCCTCTCAACATCCTTCCTCCCCCAGAAGGGCTGGAATTCCCTCGGGATGAGTAGGGACAGCCACTCCCGAAATCCTTAGGGCCGAAAGAGCTGCAGGATCCCCCCAAGGCCCTGCAGGGAGTGGGACACCCACGGAATTTTGGAATACCCAGAGCTGGAAGCGACCCACCAGCACCATCAGCTCCAACTCCTGGCCCTGCCCAAGGGCTGAAAAAAAAAATCCCTAATCCCAAAATTCCAACTCCTGAGGGCATCACCCAAACCCCTCCAGGTTTCGGGGCCGCTCCCAAACCCCGAGAGCTCCGAGGGAAGAACCTTTTCCCCTAAAAAAAAACCCAAACCCATCCCAATCCCTTTCCCAGGCAC